ACCTCAGCTAATTCTCACAGAGCAGACACCCAGCTGATTCCTACAGGAACTTGTGGATGCAGGAGACCAGCTGGCATGACCTCCTCTCGAGGAGGAAAGCTGTCTCCTTCTCACCTTTTGATGTGTTTCAGTACATCTACCAGGTGTCAGAGATCCTTTAACAGGAGCATTACTTCTACCGCAATGTTTCAGGACGTTCAAGGGCAGGATGAATTCTCAATTCCCTCCCCCATCCCTTGGGATGCCAACTTTCAGACCCAAAGGCTACCAAAAAATGCAATCAGATGTACAATTAAGCAGAACAATTCAATTATAAGAGAAAGGGTGCAACCCACTTAACCCCAGTAGATTGGCCAAGTATATTTAATTGAATGACTGCACATCGTTGGACTTCAAGACAAGGATTTCTTGTTTGGTTGATGCTTTAAGCTCCTCAGCTTCACACAAGAACAACCCTTTATTCTTGTAAGACAAGCACGTTCGTATCCTCCCCAAAGTTCAGAAAACAGAAACAGAAAGTTCATCACAACAGCTATGAGCAGTACAGCACTATCTGAAGCAGTTTGTCTGGGATACTTCTCAAACACTTTTCTTGGTAACGCAACTCCTGGAAAATGTAAGCACGGGCGTACTCACTTTTACAGAACCTTATTTTCCTTCTCATACACAACCCAGTTCTGTGTGCTCAGCTCATGACATGTCTACAAGCGACAGGAGGCAGACTAACAGAACTGTTGGTAGTTGTGTCCGAACTGTAGCACACAAGTGTTTATGTGCAGAGCTAAGGAGAGAGATTTAAGGGTAAACAGAAAGCGGTGGCTCTTCAGACCCACACGCAGCTGGACAAGACATCAACTACAAACAGGAATGGAAAGGCCACCGGTCCTTAGTACAGTCACACAAGAGTACACAGTCATCAAGAAAGCCATTAGTGATACCGTGTCAGGATCATAAGAGTAAAATCACATGAATTTACCAGCATCGAGAATTTTTAACTCAATATTCTCAACCAACTGATACATTGCTCAACTCCTACATTTTCCTCCAATCTTAAGATGTTCCAACAGTTCCTTGCCTGTCTTTTAGGAGGACAGAGAAAACACACATCTTGGATTTTTGCAAGAAGAGACAAAAAACTCAAAATAATAGAAATACGCAATGCCATTGCATCCCCTTCAAATGACTACACAAAATGAGTGCTTTGAACATGCAAACAGAGCCTGGACTTTGCAATATAAAGAACTGTTGCTAGTGATAAGCAAATAAACAAACCTAATGGTTATCTGGCACTAGACCTGGTGCTCAGACCCATTAGCCACGTGCCTGCACACGTGCGCTTACAGCCAGACAGATCCTAAGGACAGCCTGTGCCTTCCTGCATGCACTCTACTGCCAGGACAGAGGGTAAAGCAACAACCAGCTTCTGAGACAGAAGCTACATCTGGTAACCTAAATTAGATAAGGCTGTAATAAGACTCCGATGAGTCTTATGAATCACTGTGGAAACTGACCCTAGAGAATGAGGCTCTTGGGTCAGGTGAAAATTGCTCTCATGAACATGGCTCAGGCCAAAGAGCTAAATCCAACACAGGTAACATGAACATCTCCCATGGCTGTGATGCTGGACTGATGCTGAAGCAGGTGGAGAAGAGTGTTTGCACTCTTATTTAATATGTATTGAAGTTCCATGTGGAGAGATGGAGAGGACGAAGCACCACACAGCTCTCAACAGCACAATGAGACCTCCCAAACTACTCAGTTCCAAGCTCTTGAAAGCTTGAATTTAGGAATACTTGGCTATGGCTGTGTAGCTGGGAGTTCAGACTTGTCACTCTAAGCTCTGGCAGAGGAACCAAACCCAAACCTGTTTATGGTGTGGATTTTTCTCTTTCCACCCATGTAAAAAAGCAACAACAGGAATATGACAGATGCTTGTTTTGATAATTAAGACAACACCTCAGTTTCTTTGGGAGTCAAGTCCTACACAAATTCACAGCAACACCTTGTGCCTAGAAAATACTACAGCTGCAGGATGAACTGCATATGGAAACATTTCTGTAAATGCCCCAAGCCTACCCACCTACCTCTTCTGACCTATGGGAGGGACACTTGCAACTCTATCTCCATGATAAGGTGAAGAAAATACCTTACATACATTTGAACGTATTGAGAAAAAAGCTTCACAGCTCTCAGGAGGCTCTAGGTTACGAGGGAACCTCCTAAGCAAATTTACACTGATAAAAATAAGCAAAACAGCAGTGGGATATATTTACTACAGCCTGGTGCCAGCAGTATTTTCAGAAATTATTTTCAAGTGCCTGACAGGGATATCCTCAATGCCAGCTTACCAGCACTATGCATACAAGGGCATTACTTAAAGCAAGCCAAAGGGTCTTGGGTTGCCCAAACACCTTTGCTAAAACAAGGAACTTGCTAATAGCTTACAGGCAAACAGCCATGAAGCCTCCCTCTGATCTCTTCATTAACATTTCTAAGACCTTCTTTCCCTGAAGTCTTTTTTTAAACTTTTTTTTTTAATTTATTATTTGCCCTCCTAAATCCCCCTCTGTGGCTACCTTTAGCCTTTCAAGTTTTTTTCACTTCTCTTCTAAATATAGGCAGCCCTTTCCACTTGTTCTTTTTCTTCTACATGCCCCCAATACTGTATTTGAACAATATTAAAAGTTGTATTTCAAAAATAAAATGTATTACTGAAGGAAAAAAAGTTAGATAAGAAAAAATGAGAAGTTAACAGAAACTAGCCTCATACAGAAGAGGTAAGAGCTTTTGTAGAACACAAAATAGAAAATTAAGTTTGTTTTCCAAAAACATCCATTTAAAAAGAAAAAAGACAAAACTCATCGTTTCCCTTGTTTTCCTCACCCCAGAGATGGAGAGGTACTCGTAAAGCACATGAGAGGGGCTGGCTTGCCAAAGCTCACAGAACAACCTACTATAAGGTAATACACAAATAAATAAAGTTGTGGGAGTTTCAACTGTTCATGCATTTGTGTTCCAGCAGCTCTTTGCTTCAGGTTCAGGGGCTTTCCTGGTACCAGACCCAAGATCCACAAAAGCCATCAGAACTCATTCTTTGTGTTTGTGAGCTTGTCCCTCATTAGCTTATCACACATACTGACTACCTGGAACAGAAGCCAGAGAGATTCAGACAGCAAGGTCCATCCAGCTCCAAAGTCTCTACATTTTCTACAAAATAACACTTGTTTCTTGGTGATCTTTTTCCAGATGGTACTGCTATCCACCACTATCCTATTTCCAAAAACCCAGAAACTTCCAGAGATCCTAATAGGCCAAAAAAGGTGCATCTGTGGGGGAGAGTGGCCTACTAACAGAGGGACAGACATGTGTAAGACCGAAATTGCCAAATTCAACACTGTTTGGGTGCGTATTCAAAGCAAAAGCAAGAAAGAATCATGACAAGAGAAAAAGTGGGAAAAAAATGAAAACAAAACAAGTGAGGAACAAAGCCATAGGCTTACACTGTGAAGCTCTCAAGAAAAGTAAAGCAATTTGCAAATTCGAAGAAACAAGAAAAAACTACACTCTTCATGACCACCAAAGCAAAGAAAGTTATATACTGTTAACAAATCATCTCTAGTTTCTCTTAAATAGAATAAATTGAGGCATTCCATTACAACAACAGATGGCATTTTACACAATACAATGAAGCCAAAACCTGGGGTCTTTAGTTAGTTTAGTCTACCACTAATTAAACTGGAAAGGAACTGTGGGGAGGGAAAAAATATTTGTCATACACAGAGGCGCTGCTATTAGCAGTAAGCTAACTGGGTATAAACACATTTCTGTTGTGGTTCTCGTTGGAACCTTTTCCTGATAAAGCCACTGTTATACTGACTATAGTTTATAATACATTCATATCGCCCAAGCTGTTCATTCCCACAAACAATGCTGCAAGTGTGGAATTTTCCCTGTTCCTTTCAGTGACATTTTCTTGGCTTCTTCCTCTGGGAAAAATATTTAGGCAACAATTTCCCTTTAGTGCAATTTATGTAGGCCCACTTGAGTCGTTTGATGCAGGTCAGTGTGCTGTGCTGCATTTTCACTGTTCTAGTTCATGGAGCCTCAGACCTAGCTCTCTAGATGTTACTGTTGAGCAAAGAGGAGGGCAAAGTCAGCCACATCAGGGTTTGTAAAGCTCCGTCATCCACTTGTTAAGCATTCAATTTGAAAATTCATCTTACACCGAGTAACTAACAACAACCACCACCTGAAAAAAGAAAGTTGAAAAACCTCCTTTTCCATGTCCGTTGTGTTTTCTTGACCTGCAAGCAGAGCGCCTTCTCTTTCCAGAAAGGCTCTGGCACTTTGATGCAACAAATTCTCTTCTGCTCCATAGCAAAAACAACTCATTTATGACTACTGTGCAGCATTAGATTTGAATACGATTCTACTGGGCCTTTTCACTTATTTCTTAGAGAACAACATGGCAAGTAAATCACAGGTTTCTGGAGATTGATCCATGTAATTTAAATCCTATATAGTTAGGAATACTTCATTTCAACAGGGCTTGTACCTTTATAAACCTACTACAATCAAACATCTTTGCTACATACAGATCCCTGCTTCATAACTCATTTTTTACCTTCCAGGTGAGCAGAAAAACAATTGCAGATTAGCATTTTGTTACTTGCGAACTTCCAGCAACCTTAGAATTCCATTTCGTACCTGATTTCTTTGTGTAGTAATTTGAGTCCTCTAGAAAACAGAATCTAATACTTCTCCCAGAAACACTGTTTTCTGGTTTCACTGAGCATTTCACTAAATGACCAATGAATGCCTGTTGTCAACATCAGCTACACGGAATATTTTCAGTGTACAAAGCAAGCAGAGAGTCAAATATTTAGGAAACTGACAGAATGTAGCTACTAATACACTGTTCCCAGATCTTCAAGGTAATTTGACAACAGCATTGTACAGACCAACATCACTACCCACCCGAAATCAGAGACTTGCCTTACCCCAAATGGTGGATACGAAGCAGCAGCAGCAGCGGAGGCAACGCTCACTGCGGGAGGTGGTATTCCTGAAGAAGAAGGTGGGAACAGACCCAAGGCATTCAGATTTAATCCAGGAATTAAATGTGCTTGAAGCTGCAATGGCAGAAGAGTTTATTTTAGATTTACAGTTCCCATTAAGTTTAATCAAAATGCTAGCTGACAGACTTTTTGACTTAGTTAAGTTTTAAGTTTAACAAAAATGCTACTTGACATAGACCTTTTTAGAAGATGTCAGTACGTTCTTTAAAGCGTTTTCCATCTCCATTACCCCAAGGACTCAGCTTCAAACTTACTTCCCAGACATATGCACAGAGCAATAATGTTAAAAAACACAACTGTACTAGGAGAGGCAGCTGAGAGTCACTTGCTACAACTTAATCGAATGAAATATATAACAAGCTTCGTAGCAAGAAATTCAGGCAATAGCATCATTTACTTTCAGAGTGAACAAAAATTACCAGAGAAAATCACTTTGGCTTTATTCTAAAAAACACCCAGCCCTGTATAGTCAGAGAAATCCTACGAACTAGCCCCATTTTTTCATATATCCTACACTATAACCTCATCTTTCCTCCCTGCACGCAGGAAATCTTCCCTCCATGCCTGCATAAGATGAAGATCCCACCAGTGCTTGCTGGGAAAGCATCAGCTTTGAAGTTTTTTTAGTACCATTTTTGACTCTGCTAAATTATTGCCCAGTAATACTGCTATGATTTAGAAAGACTTCAGCTAGAGACTGACACCATCTCACAACATCAAGATAACCCAGGCATGAGACATCAACAAAACACCTCAACACTTCAACTACCCTACTAACCCCAACTAATTAAACTTGAAATACATCCAGTAATTGAAGTAGTTTTCTGCTTACCACACCTTTGCCCAGTAGCAGAGCAGAACTCACTAAATGAAGCAAAAATGCAGCACAATAAAAACTTTTTGTACTCGTGTGTAGTTTGAGTCCTGACTTTGCACAGCATGGGAAAAATAAGAAAAGTGGGGAGAATATTCTCTCCACCCAGTAGTGAAGCCATAAGGAAGAGTCATTTCTAGAAAATGACACTACTGTAAAGTTGAAAAATATTTTCAGCCCAATCCTAGCCCATAAGATTTGGTTACACTAGCACACAAGAAGCTTTTCATGGCTTACCAACAATTGCAGTTGTTTCCCAATATGCATTAGTAATGCTTTGGCAAACTAACATGGTGTGGTTTACTTGCTTTTTTGTTTTTTAATACAGACAGTTATTCAAAGATGATTGATTTTCTCATATATATAATCAAGAAAAATCTTAATATAGCCTTCTTAAGTTAAACAATTAAAAGCAGCAGAGATCCATCTCCTGTATGTTCAATCAAGAGACTAGGAATCATGACTTTAAGAAACGTACAGTATAGCACAAACCACATCAGCAAACACATTCCTTTTAAGGCTTCTGCAACAAGAAAACGTGAAATCGTCATCCATTTCCTCAACCTAAATGAATTTCTCAGTTTCCCTACTCAAAACAAACTGGCAGAGAAAGCCTCCATTAATAATAATTTAAAGAAAACACACAAGCCCAATGAGCAAATGCAAGACACAGAGTGGTTGCAAGAGAGAAATTCTGATTGGATATTAGAAATTTTCCCTAGAGAGACTGTGGACTCTACCCATGGAGGTAATAAGGTAATAAGGTAATTACCAAAAGGTAATAAGGCGCTACACCACCTCACTTAGCCTTGAAACAGGCCCTTGACAGAGCAAAAACCATGTTGGGACAGATGACCTCCAGAGGTCCATCACACCTAAACCATCTGTGGTTCTAGCTCCAAAAGAGCCCATGACACAAGACAACTCACGTTCATAGCAGCAATGTCATTTTCATAGGACTCCCTGATTTTCTTCATAATTTCTTCCTCGGCCTTGGCACAAGTTTCGATACTGCCTTTAACTGTAATGGTCCTTTCCGGATTATAGAGTGTCAAGTCCTGCAACCTACAGAGGAAACAGAAGTACAATTAATTAGCAAACAGCAGAAGGTCATCAAGGTTTATCAGCTGCGTGTGAAGACATCCAAACATGTTGAGTTTGCCCTCCAGACAGCATAATATCAGCTCACAACATGGCTCAGACACTTCTCAGAGCATCTGGAGAAACTCTACCCTCCCAGCAAACCCAACAGAAATCGCCACAGCAAGGTTGGGCTTCACATGCTTGTGATGCACTGATAAACCCAGGCAGCTTCATGGAGATATTTTAGGCTTAGCAAAAAGATTAAGATAAAGTCCAAGATTTTAATGCATGTAAAGCATTAAGGAAGATTGTTAATTTCACAAATTGTTTACGGACTATATTATTCGTATCATCATTATAAAGTTTGTTTCATGGACTGAAAACCATTACCTCGTTTACCCTGTATATATTTTTCCTTTAAGAAACAGCACTAACAGCCTGCATACTGTTTTCAAAAGTGTTGGCATAAATATTTTAAGTGAGCATGCTGGCCTTACAAAGCCTATTCTTGAGAAACACTTGCCATTTTGGTGCTTTTTCTCCAGTTGATTTCTCTCTTTTTCTTAGATTAATTCTGTAAAAGTTTAACATACCTTCAAGGAAGACCTCAAGTTCTCTCACCTGATTTTGAATTACCTCTTTTTGATGCATCTCATTCACTCCTAACTTCTTTGCTTTCATTTGAGCTATTTCCTGCAAACTCCCTCCCTGCCCCCCTGCCCCAACATTTCTTCACACATCTTTTTGTTACAGCCTATAAACCTTATTCTCTCTTTTCTGGCTAAAGCTCAAGTCCAGAATACTCAAATGCCTGGAAGTTCATGCCAGATCATTCATTATTCAGCATAGGAGGTTCTCTGAAGATATTACTTCAGGGTAAAACTACTATCAGCAGCCAAACTTCTACAGAGATGTTGATCTAATCAGTGATTTCCCCCCACTGACTTGCAGACACAAACATTTTCCCGGTAAGGTGAAAATTCCTGTTTTATCTCAGCTAAATTTAAACAGATCTGTTACCTTCACAAACTCACAGACCATAATCTATTATTTTGATGCATCCTACGCAACATACAACATTCAGCTGCTAGTAGCCACAAAGAGGGACAGAATTACTAGCGCAAATACTCTTAAGTATTCATTTGCTTTCCCTTTTGTCTAAAAACTCTGATCTATACCAGTAAGTAAAACATCAGTAGTTTCACAAACAGCCCAGAACTACTCAAGGCTTATGGTTTACAAAACACTCTTCTTTGCATATAGCATGGTACGTTAAAAAAATCACTTAAAATGTAGTCTGAAGAGCCCATGTTATATTTAGCCTTCCTCTTGACTGAATTTATAATGAGGAATCACTGTTTACATTCAGTGCATCTCATCTTAAGCAACTGTTTAATCCACATCACGGAAGGGGCTCCGGAAGGTTGTCATCTCAATTTTCAAAACAGAGCATTTTTGTAAGAACTCTGTACATGAACGTACCACAGCAGTGAGACACCTCATCAAAAGATTAGACCACTGAAAACTTACGGAGATATCGTGATTTTAGTATCTGTGTCCTGCTCAATTTTCTTCAGGTTTCTTCCTTCTTTGCCAATAAGTCGGCCAACAAAGTTGTTATGTGCCAATATCTTCAGGGGAATTTCTTCTGTACTGTAATAGAAGTTACACCCAGTAAGACTTTTGGAGAAAAGACTGCAAGCTTTTATGCATAACATGCATTTTCATAGAAAAGCATACCAATCCCATTCACTTGCACATTTACACTAGATGCAGAAGAGTCCACGTGTGATGTTATTTCAGCAATATCATCTAAAGTGTCATTGCAACATATCTGCTAAATAAAAGTCATACTGAAGCAGCAAGAGCTCTTGGGAAGGAAACAATATGTCTTAAAGGGAGATAATACGTCTTTTAGGGAGATCACTCATTATCCTTGCTCTGATTAAAAGTTACTAGTTCCTCAAGAAGCTTCAGTACTTGCTCTAGTTCTCCTCAAAATCACAGCCACTGAATAGCTAGAAATGTGGAAGGTATTGGGGCTAATTAAACAAGCAGACTGACCCTGAAAGGTAAAAGATGACTTTTCTAGTTAAGTGTATATAATTTCTAGTTAAGTATGGATAACAGCAACAGAGGATTCACTACTTCATAGATTTCAAAGACTTCTTTACACGGAGTCAACAAGAATTCAGTTTTTAGTGCCTTCAAAATGAAATGTCTTTTACTCACAATTTAGTATCTTGAGCTTCCTTTTGCATGATCTCCATAATAATTTTACAAGCCGTTGAGCAGCCTTCAGGAGTTGAGTGGATGGTAATTGGTTTCTCAGCAGCACCTGCATTCTCTTTACGATGAATATCAATTCTTGAAAGAAAGGAAAACACTAACTGTAACCACATATTGTATGGTAAGCTTGCATATTTCCAGCTCTCATTGAGCTAATTAATTTTGAGCTAACAATGACTACATATTTAAGAGGCCTCATTTCAAAAAGGATACAATTAGTTGAACATCCCATAAATACTATTTTCTGTGTGTTTTATAAAGAGGCTCCCCTACCCTGACTTCACCAGTTAAACGTCATCTACATGGACACTGGGATTTTCATTCCTCAGACCGCAAGACAATCAGAGGATATGTTAGATAGACAAATCTGTGACAAACCACTGAAGAGAACATTTCATCAAGATATCCCAAAGCTCTGGACATTCATCACCAGTCCCATCGCTCCACTAATAGTGACTGTGCAACTCGAGTACAGCAAAACTTTGTCCCACCTTGTTTTTTCATGACCTCAACAGTAGGGTTTCCTAACACTTCTCTGCTAGCCAAGTGGCAATGTAGTGCCTGCATTCATCATAAAGATTACTTGCTATGTGTTCTAAGCCTAAAATGTGTCCTGCGATTACCTCTCCTCCAACTCCACTCTCTGTCACCCTAAAACTAGAAGCCTCGAACCACAGCAGTTTACATAGCTGTAGGACTAAAAATTCATCACAACCTGCAGCAAGACAATGCCTTGGATGCTGCTCGCACTTTGCCAATAACTACAGGTCACATCCTATTTCTACCTCTTCTTTTTTGGCTTCCTCCCCTCTCTTTCCCCCCCGATCAAAGCTGTTTCCAAATTTAAGAAACAACCATGATGCTCTTCAATAAACTTCTACATTTTTCCAGTTGTGATCCTGAAAATTCATTTTGTTTCATGATGCAGCGTTTTGAGGAGCCCATGGCAATCCTTGCTGCAACTGGAAGGAGACAACCTTTCTTTTCTTAATCCCCCAAACAAGAAAAACATCATTCTTGTAGTCACATATCCTTCAAGTCAGCCATCTGCTATTGTTTCTGCTCTAGCCAGCCCCCCTTTTAAGAGATAAGAGCTTTCCTTATGCCAACCTTCTAATTCACGTGCTATAAAAAACCTGGAAGTTTTAGATATCACCTGAAAATTGGTTGCCCGTAGGCAAACTACAACCAAGTCTTGTTAGGACAGCACAAATCTCTTAAATCCGTGTTGTTAAACACAGCAAAGAGTCTCCTGGGATACAACATGCTAATGCGAGGTTTGAAGCAGCATCGAGATAATCCGGAGTTCAGTGGGCAGGGGGGTCTGTTTGTTTTGTTTTACTCCTAAAGGCAGTGTTTTCCACCCTGTACTCTTAGGGCAATCCTAGAAGAGTTCCTTGAATGCAATCCCTGCCTCCCCCTGCATCTGCACGTATTTCTTCCTTGTGGGTAGGGATTTAGCACAATGAAAACAATCTCCTTCAGTGTCTCTGGACCTTAGTGCTCTAAGCTTCTTAGGTCACTTAGTAGCTCACTTTTTGCCTTCCGTGCATTTCCTTAATCTGTATTTTGGTGGGGTCTGCAGTTTAATAGCAATGCATTTATTCACCCCTGTGTATTCCTGGTAAGGTGCAAGGAGAGGGAGAGATGAAGGCCCTTTTTTTATGGCCTCCCCCTCTTTTATTGAAAATATATTTAAATCCTAAGAATGCCCCAAATTAAACTGCAGCTAGAATAAGCACTTACAGGCTAGGCATGTCACCACAGTGACTGCATGTTCCACAGACCGAGATATTACAGCTTTCACGTTCACCTTTTGTGCCCAGAGCCTTATCAGTACATTTATTAGGTAACTCTGGCATCAAGTACCATCCCACTAACACCGCCTATTTTCATTCAAAACCAGGCAAGTGAGCTAGTATTTGAACACGTATTAAGGGCAGAATACAGTTCTTAAGTCTTGCAAAAGATTTCCTGGTCGCAGTGATTTTCATTTGTTGTGAAATTTTACACATTTCTAGAGTGACTCCTTGCCATCCCAGCACAGAACGCAATACTGCTCATCCAAGCTGAAAGCAAGGTGGAACACCAAAATTTGGTCCCCAAAGATGACACTTCTGAGGACACAGAAGCCTTCCAAAGGACGTAACAGCATTATGGGAGGAGTGGGAGACATTTCTCCCTGTAATCAAGACCATTTTAGTAGCACAAATTTGTAGAGGGTTATGGCTCAAACATTCCACATTTTTTAAAAAAGGAAAAAAACATTACTGCCAGTGTCTCCTAGCACAATTAAGTTTGCACAATTTACTCCAACTAGAAAAAGCAGTGCTGTTATATCCATAAGGCTTTCTTCAGAAGTATCAAGACAGACACAAACCAGAGCGCAACGCACACAAAACACATTCTTACCCCACAGAAGAGAAACAAATTTCACATTTCCCTTTACACAGCAGAAAAAGACACGACATTAAAGCTTAGGATGACTTTTTTTTTTTAAACAGGGTAACCTACTTGGACTGCGTCTGCTTTGTGATGTTTCTGATGGTTGCTCCTTCCTTCCCGATGATGGCTCCTACGAACTGCGTGGGGACCAGCATCCGCAGAGGAACGTCCGACTGGGGCTTCTGCCGCGTGGTGGCACCGGGGGACCCCTGCCGCGGGGGGCCCCGCTGCCCGAATCCGCGTCTGCCCTGGGGATGCTGCTGCGGAGGTTGCTGGGCTGCCATTTCATCGGGGATATATGCGACTTTCAAGGAGTAGTTTTCAAGCTGAAACCCGTTCAGTTTTTCTATTGCTCTGTTTGTTTGCAAAGGGGAGGAGAGAGAAAGGGAAAAAAAGAAACAAAACAGTCACATGTGGGACCTTATAAAATGAGAAGTCACCTAGGTGTAGTCTTCTGCACTTTCTAAATCACATGACAAAGCTAAAAAGCTATTTCCTAGATGAATGGTTACATTCAAGACTCTTTAGTCAAGATTTAGATTACACAGCTTTTTTCTTTTTTTTTTTTTTTTTTTTGAAGTCACCATATTAAGAACTACAAGTTAGTTCTTGCTTGCTCTGGGCTTCTGTGCACTTTAAACATTTCGCTGGTACAACCCTATCAGCAAAACCTCACAGGAGACAGAGCTTATACACTCAAAAGCATTCTTTTGCCTGATTTAATTTAAATCAGTTTCCCAAATAGAATTAAAGCTGCACCAGAGGGAAAACCTTTTCGCTGCTATCACAGCACCTTCATTAGGGTTTCTGCCAGCACAGCTATTTGGCTGGATTTTTTTCTTCCCCCTTCGATAACTGACACAGCTATGACACAAAAGAAAGGAAAGACAGCTTCTGCTTCGCTCTCAGCAGGAAAGAAAGCGCTCAAAGCCAATCCATGGCACTTGAAACATCACTTGGCAGACCACTGGAACACCTCACAACTTACCAGCCTCGTTGCGGGCAGGATTAAAAGTTAACCAGCAACTTAAAGCATCAGCTAAGCTCTCAATGGATGCAAAGGCGCTCAGAGCCATTTACATGGTGTTTCAAGTTCTGCTGCCCTTTGAGGCAAAACAGGGCCCCCTCCGCTGAATATCAAAGAGGGATTTCACCCAAAGGCACACAACGTGCCCACACCGTGATCCATCACGCCGAAGAGCAACCCGGTGCTCTCCTCCCCTCAGCCTCTCCACACCGGCTGAGCTCCCACAAAACACGATGCTCCCTCCCCATGCCATCCCACCGCATTAAGCGATATTGGGGAGCGTGGCTTCAGCTTCACACAACGCTCTGGTACCCAACTTCTGGGCAGCACCCGCTGAAAAGCAGCCCCTGCACCATTACAGCATTGAGGTTGCGATGACAGCACTGACAGGAGAAAGGCAGAAGGGGCATGGTCTGAGAGCAACCATTTCAACGGAGCAAGGAGGCCCCAGGCTCACAGCTCTGCCTCCTCCTCTCCACACAAATTCATGCTTTTGTCTGATGGACGTGGAGTTTCACTACAGAGGGCACATCACTCACATTATCAGCTATCTGATACACCAATATCACCAAAACACGCATTGATTTGGGGCAGTTTATGAATGCCAGGCTTAATCTGGGACAAAAGTTTACGGAGGGATTTTGTTTAAAGGCTTAATTTAAATTAAAAACACTCAGGGGAGGGCAGGAGGTTTCCATTTCATATTAAAGAACCCACCAACGTTTTCTCTTTTTTTTTTTTTTTTTTTTTTAAAAAAAAAGCTCATAACAACCGTATGCTCTGGAGCAAGGCCTTTGAAATGCCGAAACCTAATCCTGTCTCTCCCCTCGCACATTTGCATGTAGTTACAGCCAGTTTGCCATCCGCTGCCCTCTGCAACAGCTTCACCCCTGCAGCAGAGGTAGTGGGAGATGCTCGCCACCCACCTATGGTTTCAGGGGGAGCCAGGACGCTCATCTCCTGGGTGTCCCGGCCCTGTGGTCTCCTGCCGCTGTCGGAGGTGAGAAGTAGCCTTGGTCATGAGAAGTGGGATAGAGGTACCGAGACTAAGCAGCAAAAAAAGAGGATAACCTGCCCCTTGACCTCACAGGGAATAGCCCCACGTCTGTGAAATACTCCAGCAGGGCAGTAAAGAGCTTATAGAAGGAGTTCTTGTCTTTGGAGCACCGTTTAGTAAGGGCTGATAATAAATAAGGCCTAAGGCAAGCCCGCTTACAACAAGGAAAGCCAAGTATTGAATAACTGATCGCTGCTCATTAAATACTCGTGTTCACCAAATGAGACAGGTCCTTCTGGGACAGGAGGGAAGGGTAATTGCTCCCACGATGGGAGAATCTCCTACAGCACATGGCAAAATACACGTAGAGCTGCACTGAAATTTGCTGAGGCTATTTCAAAGCTGACATTTCTCTATGTTTACTGCACGGACTTTGGAGAGCATTTTGCTATGCAAAATGCTGTGCTTACAAGAACAGTATGGGACTGAGCAGCACAGCTCATGGATCTTGTCATCCCATGGATTTGCCTCTCAGGTTCGAGCTGCACGGAGTTGCAGTACCCAAAAGGCATTTTCTGGAGAAGTGGTCTGAAGGTTTTCCCTTTCATGTAACCTGAAAATAACGTTTTTGGTTGCAAGTGTCTTCAAACCTCTTTCTCAGTTGAGTCTTACTGGAATGAGTCTTTTTAAAATCAGCCAGGAAGCTGAAGAGCTACTGGAGAGGAGCATGGCACCATCAGGCAGCGCAGTTGCACAAGCCCCGTTTGTTTTTGGAAACAAACCCCAAGATGCTGGAGAGATGAGCACCAGCCTTTTTGCCAACACGTTGGTGGTAGGCTCCAGATTGACATGCATCCCAGCTCCTTCCCTTCCACGCATTCATTTGACAAGTCCAGACACTGCTTCTTTCCCAAAACGCTTCAAGCTTACCTGGCTTTAAAACATCTCAGAGCAGAATCCAGCACTAACACAAACTCTTACATTAAAGCAGTACAAGAGATGTCTCATTCTTCCTCAGAAGTGGCAGGAGAGGAGAAGACTAGGCTTCTTGTTTGCAACCAAGCCACATACGTAGGTTGCACAACAGATACTGTAAAGCAACAACTGACATACCACGCTTTTCCTGGAAAGTTTTCCTGGAAAGAAGGTTGCAGTTTTTCTACTTCGAAACAATTTCTAAATTGTTGAATGATTCTGTATGACTACAAGTGCCTTAAATTCAAAGCAAACTCAAAAAAGGTCATTTTCCATTTCAGGAAATCAATCGTGTTAGCAGCGAACAACCCCAGGCTACCAAAACCATGTGATGACAGGGAAAAATAATTCAAATATTGAACAAGTTGGTTTTAAGTATTTGAAAGCAAGCAGGCTTTAAAGTTCACTTCTCTAGCTTTAATATTAGAGGTTAGCATCTAGAGATACTACGATATCACATGTTTAACTAGCCCAGATATTTATAGAGAAAACCTTAAACTAATGAATTCATCCTCTGAGTCACAGTTCTCCCTATTTTACAGGCTGACTGTTTTGTAATCCGAGTCGATCAAGTGACAAGAAGCCAGAAGAGTCAGAAAACACTGCTCTCCCAGCCGTGCGTGGAACTGAGGCTTCCCAGGCAGGTGTCTCGCTCTCAGCTCTGGTTCATGCCCACAGAAGCGAGCGCAGCGATGACTGATTGTCAGTAATGCAGGGAGAAGACAATGCCCACAGCTGCTGAGAGATCACTTGGTGCTTTGAGCCTGGCCTTCAGTTTTCCAACATTTGACAGTTTTCACTAGGTCCTTAATATGCTGTCATAGCACCTTTATTTAACCGTGCTGAAGTTTTCTGTGGCATAAAATGAGGCTATGATCAGGCAAGATTACACTCTCTTCAGGAGGCCTTGAGCACCAGTAATGACCAAGTTTCAGAGGCAAAGTACTGCTTCAGGAGAGAGAAGGAAAAATAGAAAAAAAATCCTGAAAAAAAAATGTCAATGGATTTAAGCCACAGGGTCCCTAATCTTACTCTGGTGCTAGCATCATGGAAAAAAAAAAAAAAAAACAAAACAAAAAACATTAGAACTTGCCATCAGGAGAGCCATCCCCACTCCCTGTGGGAGAGGGAGCCTCAGAGGAAAGCAAGGGATGGTTTCTTCACACCCCCAGTGGCATCTGCTTGAGTGAAGGCTACAGGAGATCCCCACCACACTGCCTACCACCATTTTGGCAGTCTACCAAAAACCATGCTAAATTCAGCTCCTTTCATCAAGCACATCCTCAAACAGGCTGACCACCTTGGAGACCCGAATCCAAGCCACACCAACACAGCCACTGCTTTTATGAGGCCTCTGCCTTCCCAAACAGAGCTGGGCATCTCCATGACCACAGTCATAAAGGTCTCACAGGTCACCTCTGCCATTATCGGTGCCCAGTCTTTTTCATGGGGCCTAAAAGCCTTCGGGTGACTCCATGATGGCAGGGATGGAGAAAACTTCCATAAGCTTCCTCATTAAGAGGTAACCCCTCCTATTACTTTTTTTTTTTTTTAATATTTATAGGAAAACTGAAAATGTTTATATTTCATATGCCAGCAAGAGCTGGTAGACAAGAATCTCACTGTAGTTCAGAAAATATTCTGTGAAATAAAACAAAGACTGCCGCAACCACTGCCTGTGCTCTGTGAAACTGTACAGCAGCCTGCCTTATGTTCAGGTAACATCTATTCAGAGGAAGATCTCTGCAAGATTTATATCTTTAAATAAACATTTTGTAAATTAGTCACCTGAGTTTTTTCCCCCATCAAAATTACACCTCATGGCTGTCCTCTTGCAAACTTCCTATGCGGAGATATTTGCTCAGCCTTCTTCTCCCTTCTGATGCTAGCAGAGGTTAAATATCCTAAATAAATGAATACAGTAGAAGCACCAAGTCTTGTGCAGGAAATCATTCATCCATTGATAGCGTGATCACACTAAGCACTAGATGGAGAACATATTTCACTCCCACATGCAGCTTGTACATACACCATCTTTCATTTTTCCTCCCTAAACAGATACATTTGCATACCGAGAAGACAGATTTACATGGTAATTTTTCCTCAGCATAAAGATTTTTTTTCCACATTAAGTAAAAATATAGTTTTCATTAGTATTTGTGAAAATAAAAACAAAGCAAAAGACAAATCTAAGCTTATAATCATATACCACACCAAATTTTCAGTCTTATCGTTCCTATGGCAACATTAGTCCTGACCCATGATGGAATATAAAAGTATTAGTTATGTGAACTCTCATTCATTTGTCAAGGATACGTGTGGTGTGCACACAGCTTTGTGCCTCGTTGAAAGGGTAAAAAAAAACCCTGTTTTTGTATAGATTCTAATTAAAAGGTGATCACTAGCATCTTATAGTAATATATCTACCTGTATCTGCGAAAACACAGATCCCGAGCTCCTCACGTTGCAGCCAGCAGCTAAAACACACCATCACTTATGAGACACAACCAACAGGCATATCTCACTCCTGAGCTAGAAAAAAAAATGAGAAAATGGACATCCAGCCCCATCTTCAAACGATAGGCACCACCTCCACAGGCATGAAGCCAACTTTGCACAAAAAACCTTCCAAAACCCTGGGAAGAGCTGAATCCTGTAGCATGTACAAGATGCCTACAAGCTACATTTTGGGGAGGGAAAGAGGAGGCAGCATGACTATGAAGCCAACAGCCACAAGGACATGGCCAGCCTGTCCTGGATCGACAAGGGGAGAGGAGGGAGTCCCCTTTGGTGAGCAGGCCCCAAGACCTACATGGCACTGGTTGTGTGTTCAGCCTCAACTGCACACACCGGGCTCTGCCACTCCTCTCCCCCAAACATTCCAGAATCCACTGCAACAGTCAGTAACCGCATGTGCAAGCACAGTGTGCACATGCTTTTTAAGACCCTCCTTAACTTCTGGTGAAGATGAGGCTTCCTCCCTGCAGCTGCTTGCAGGAGGGCAGGTTTGGGGTCACAGAGCTCCCCAGGCAGTCTCAAGTCTTCTCCTTGCTACTCAAGGAGTATGAGTGGATCTCCCTGGCCTGTGCATGACTTGGTGCTTGCAAACCTCCTGGGCCTCCTGCAGACACCTGGTCTGCCCACTTGAGGATGAGGAGCACCATCCTGCTTTCCTTGCCCAGCCAGCATCACACCTGCTCAGCTAGGAAAGAGACAGTGTGGTGACAGGTCAAAGCCACAGACCTCTATTCCAACTAGAAACCAGCAGCTGGGCACCTCACATCTCAGATTTTGGGTGCTGTGTGCTCTGTCCCAGACTTACTGCTTAAAAGAACTGCAATGTTCTTCACTAATTTTAGTCTCAAAGTTGATTTTGGATGCGGTGCTATACTGTATATGCCGCAATTACAGTACCAGCCTAGAAAAGGGGGGGGGGGGGGGAGGGAAGACCTCTGCCACAGCAATTAGGCTTGCAAGACAGAGGAATGCTCAGTTTCCCAGCTGGGTGGATCCAAGAGCTTTATACACAGTACCACCCTTCAAGCCAAGCATACCACACTTGTATAAAACTGCTTATCAGGAGCATCTCCAGGCTGTTCCAGCACCATCACGGCAGAGTGCCACATGCACACACTCCGGCAGGCAGGGCTATGCCGTACAGCCTGTCCAGAGGGGAAGCAGCCAGCTCTGCATGGTTTGTCAGCCAACACTTAGCTGTGAAGTTAGGGAGTGCACTGAAAAAAGTTGGTGAGATGCTCAGGACTGGGAGCCCACTGCATGCAGCACCACAGGGAACGGACGGTCTCAGTCCTTGCAACAAATGGGTAATAGCATTGTTTGCCCTCAACAGTTAAGTCTCACAAGGCAGAGCTCGTTATCAGCTGCTGAATCCCAAGCAGCCTATAAACAGCTTCCACAAAGTCGGTTCTTGTTGCTCCCACCACTGCACAGGCTGACCAACACTAACTTTTATCAGATGTCAGCACTCGTGCACCGCCCCCCTTCCAAAGCCATTGCTGCCCACCATAACCAGTTCCAAGAAGCAAAGCTAGGTCACATCTAGCAAAACATCCAACTGAAACATCACCACAGCTACTATAGATCAGCCACGCATGCATATACCCTGTTGTGATTCTACATTACAATTCCTTACTGTTTTTCCTTAAAAAATACCCACTTCTCCTGGGGGTTGCTAAGTGGTTGCAGGCCTTCACCCTAAAGCCAACCATCCTCATTTAACATTTTCCTTATGGAAAACAGGCTTGTGTCCTTAGGCAAACTCAAGTCCCTCTCAAGGCATTCACCACACAAATCAAGGCTCTTCTACTTGCCCTACCTGCCCAAGGCAGCTGACACTGTGTCATCATTCAGCCGCTTCAGGTCCTCTTACCAACACTTGCGCTGGATGCTAGTTCACCTGCTTTGAACTCAAGATACCTTCAGTTACGTTCATGTGATTTCTCATGCAAAAACAAATTTATCTCAGTTGCTTCCTCGCAGGCTTGGCTTATCTCAGCATTTTCTCGGTATTAACCTCAAAATTTAACAAGTACAGGCTGAGGGGGAAGAAATTGTACTTTGTTGTCTTCAGTTTCAGCATGGAATGCACAAATCCAAGAACCCACACCACAGATGACAGATCAAAAATATGCATCATGCTTCTTTCCATGGTATTTTAGGTACTTCCTTCTTACATTTTCAAAGAGGGAATTAGCACATGCAGGATTTCTAACATTGCACCATAGGCTTCTTCAGAACGAGAAATTCAACATCTTTCTTAATTATTGTGCAACAGAATTAAAGAAGAGCCTGAAGAACACGTTGAATGATTCAGGTTTTGAGAAGGTAAGTTTAATAGTGAATTGAAGAAAACTACTGTTTGCTTCAGCTCCACTATGTATAATAGGCACACTGTTGACACAAGTTTCCCATCACATTTGCTTAGAGTACACTAACAAGTAACCTAACACTTGGAAAGATGAAACATGTGTTGCATTCAAGTTGCACAGAAGTCCTAATTACTTAATTATGTGTACAAATTTATTTCATTTGTAATTGTATATTAATGCAAACCATAAGCATAGCCCGCATCTTAACTGCTGGTTTTAGTTAGCCACAAGGTGGCAGAAATTTCAAAGTTAAAAAAAGAAATTCATTGCAGGCTATTCCCTGGGTTGGGTTTTGTTTAAACCTGCTGTGGTCATAAAGGAGGAGGAAAATATGTTTATGTCCCCAGATTAGGAATTAAGAAAAAAAGACTTCTGTGTTTCTACCTGCAGTGGAAAAGCAAGATAGAACCTATAGCATAACAAATAATGACAACATTTAAAAGGGAAACGATACACAACTGCTGACTACGAAAACAAAACGTTATATTTTTAAGTTTCAATATCTAGATCAAAATTCCTCAACTACTGAAGATATAAGCAAGCAAAGTTGACTACCTAAAGTTAAAAAGCCCAAATAAATACTTCAGTTTTTCCAATAGTGACCTGCTTGGAAAAAGTGTTAAATTTTCTAGTTAAAAAAAAAAAGACACATTTATTGAGGTAAAACCTCAACAGAACAGAAACCAACAAGAGAATACAACCTCTGTTACACAGGAGACAAACACATAACAACCAACACTGTAAAAGGACAAAGCTTTTAAAAATAGATAAAAAAAATCATTAATTCCCATCCTCTGCCATTGGCAAATCACTAATCTTCTGCCCACCACAGTCAACTAAGTTTACCTAAATTTTCAATTTTCTCATACAATCCAAGTGTAGGAATAGTTGACGACAAAACAGCAAACTAAGATAAATCACACAAGACTTGGCAAGGGCAAGGCAGAAAGGCTTTCTTAAAATATTATTGCTCACGTTATCATTTTGTTGGTAGATTAATAGGAAGCAAAGATGCATATAAAATTTAAAACAATGTGAACTCCAACATGCAAGTTAGCCTACGGTAACAAATAAACGAGACACTTACTGTCTAGCCTGGTCCTTATTGCCGTACGTTACATTTACGACTGCAGTCTCCGTGTCAGTGTTCACTGGAGAGAAAGAGGCAATGGAAAAGGGTAAATTCAGCGTGCACTCACTTCCTACAACAAATTTAGAAGCAGTCAGATTGGATAGTATACCTTGCTCACAGTTCTCCACTGTTCCATACTGAGCTAACAAACTGTCCAGCACCTATCAAGAGGGGAAAAAAAGAAAGACATTTCAATTTTAAAATACATTTAGAGAAGTCTGTAATTACACCAAAATTTATAATAATTTTATCAGAACATTTAATATTCAAGACAACTGCTGTGACAAGCTATAACTTCTTATTTTTTAATCACGGGACAAGCAAGCATGCAGAGCTTGTATTCTTTCCCAAGTTAGTAAATCCAAGCTTGAAACTTCATGAATGTGAAAACGCAGACCACATCTCCGAGAAGTCACACTGCACCATGAGTCCTAACCTTCGAAGATAAGCCTCCAAAACATGTGTTCACAGTGTGGAGTAAAACAAGAGGCAAGAAGAATTAAAAAGGAGCAAATCTAGAATAAAATATCTGTGAATAAAATCTTTCCAGAACAGAATCCCAAGCATGTTCACAACTCTGCTTTTGTTTTCCCCAGATAAGTATTATTCTCTGTCCCAGGGGAATCACTAGCAAGAGCATCCTCACAATTCAAAAAATCACAGCTCGTTTGTCCATTGGTAGAAAGACAAGGAAGAACAGGTAAAGTCTGAATAAAGCAGTCTCATCTGGCATAATTTTGTTCTGGTCAAATCAAAAACGAAGGGGCAAGAAATACTTAAATCTTGAGGAAAATCAGGGTGTCAGAGTATTCCAATGAAAACATCAAAATACCCGCTGTTGTAACGCCTCTAAAATCCAGGTGGTTCACACTTCACTTTCTTCCCACTAAGAAATCATGTTGCAGAAAACAGTTGGCTACACCAGTAGCTAGCAGAGAACACAGGTATATTGTTGTGCTCTGTTGCATCCTCACGTTTCGTGTCCATCACCAAAAGGTTGCTGAAAAAGTTTCCGGTTTACATCAAGAAGTGAAAAAGTCAACTTGCAATTTATTCCATGGTAGAATTGCCATTGCTCATCTCAGTTATTCTCTTCAGGCTAGCTGTCATAACAAAAAGGGAGAAATCCCTTTTGGGAAAGGAAGGAAAGAAGGAAGCACTGACAGAAGTGAGAGGCACGCCACACATCTGTGCAGCTTGCCACTGCAGCCAGGTTCCTCTTGCTGCAACCAGCATCCGAGCACTCACAAAAGAACAGCCCCTAAAAACGTAAAGGCTTGGAGCCCACATCCCTGTGAAATTAACTATTCAAAATGATAGTTTATTAACCTACTGTATACTTTTACTACAATATAAAAGGCGCTTTTAAAATAAAATGAATGTGTATGCCCAAACTTAATGACAGCTTACATCAGTATAATTTCAAATCTTAATCTTCACCTCCTATTAAACCTGAAATTGCATGCAGACATTTCAAAGGTAATATTCCAAACTAGGTATTTAAAAGGCAGCGCGCTACTTGCCAAGTCTGAGCAACGCATTTACTACCTCTAAGTGCAGAATTTCCCCATCCTTATTGCGCAGGGTTCAGTAAGTTTTCTTGGCAACAGGTTTCACAGACAAGTTGCTAATTGTCCTCTCCTCCTACAACTAGGCATTAGCCTACTCCTTGCGATCCCCTAAAATAGTCTTTCTGCCACTCCTCAGGTTCTACAATTGGAAGCTGCTTAAGAAAAAGTTGACTCTGAAATTCCCTAAATATTAACCGAAACAGAGATGGTTCCAGGGGATTAGAGTAAATGAAGAGTCTGGGGAAAATCCTTTTGAGACCATTTAAGCATTCACTGAGACATGTGGGAGCACAGAGGTCTTGCAGCTCAGAGGTTCTGCATCAGCACAAGCCAGAAGAGTCACCGCACGTGTGACCAGCAAAAAGCCTTCTGCTGCAGACGCCCCAAAGGATAATTTTGCCTCAGCTGAAGTCAGCAGATGAACAGGACCTCAGGTGGTTTGAGGGTTTTAAAACAAGGAAAAGCAAAGCAAGTCCCTGGCTTAAAGACCCAGTTTGAGATGTTTATTCCAACCAGGATACTGAAGAGCTCATCAGTCGCAAAGAAGCAATTTTTGTCCCCACAGCATGTCAACACCAGTGCTGCATTACACAGCACTGTACTACAAGTATGAGCTAATGTCTTTAGTTATTTATGACAAATTTTGATTACACTTGAACTCTGCAGCCCACCCTGGCCCAAAGCTGCATCACTTCAAAAATCACATGTCATTTTCAACAATAGAGAAGACAATAGTGGAATAAAAATTAAACAGCATTTTATAAGCTATTTCCATATTAAATTTATGTTCTGAGCTAAGAATGAAGTGTGATTTTTTCATTAAAAGCTAAAGCCACCTGCTTCACTATGAAAGGGAACACTTTAAAGCTGAAACTAAGTAACCTTCCCCAGACATGATGCTCTCAGAGCTACTGCTTCCAACATGTCTGTCAGCTATCATACACCTCTCAGCACGCTTGACTTGCATCTCCTCCAAGAAGCCTATGAAGCAAAGGCTCTTTTGCCACTAAAACTGAGGAATAGCCCAGGACCCACTATGCTGAATAGTGGGATTCAGCATCCCACTCCTCTTCATCACAAGTTTTCCACTTACACTGCTCCTTAACCCTCTGAGCTGTCTCAGAGACTGCGTCCACCTAGGTTTTAATCCACACGATTGAGTTCCTATTTTCTTAAAGGACTTTAATCAAACCAAACAGATTTGCAAGAAGTTTCCTCCAAAGACTGGAACTTGAACAAAAACAGAACACAATCCCTGTTGTGTCAAGGAAACTTGCTCTTTGCAGCACAGTACTCAATATACGCTTATGTTTTCATCACCTTGCTCATGCAGCAAGGTTGGAAGTGTGAGCAACACCACAGGGGCAGCCATTTAACCAGACTGTATTTAAAAATATACTAGTAAAAATATATATCAGCAGTGGTTGGGGCAGATGTGTGCGTGCATCTATTTTCCAGCGAGCTTTGTAGGGAGATGGATACTTTTAATAGAAGCAGCTGATCCAGTTGGGAAGAGTTGTGTGTACTCAAAACCAGATCCTCTATTGTAACTCACTGTCAAAACACTGAGCTCCACTCTTGCATGTGTTTCTTGCCTCACATGTATTTACTGCAACAGCCAGTTTCTATTCATATCCTTCCATTTTTTCATATTTCTCTTCATACTGTCTTTTCCTCTCCCCAAATTTTTCTCTCTAGCCCAAAGCCTCTAATTCTGCTGAAAAACAAACATGTTTTGTTTAAGCTGCTCTTCCGTAACACTCTTCGTGTACAGCCTTGTTGGGCAATCAGAACAAAATTCAAAGCCAAGTTGGTGGTGCAGCAGCAATTCTGATGAGCAGCTGAAAAGTTTATTTGTATAAACTTTTCATCTAAGCTAAAAAAAAGTCTTTCCTTTTCTTGAGCTCTTGTTCTAGCAGTTGTCTAAATTGGGTCTCCTGCTCTTGTTATAGCACAGATGTCTCTCTCACAAAAAGCCGCAGTCTTATGCTGTGGACTTTCATTCATCAGGCTCTAAAAGCCAGTTCTGACTTCATTATAAACAGCGTTACCCTACACCAAGCCCCACAAATCGCAACTGCTCTACAAGGGCTGCCTCACGAGCAAACACTACCCTTCAGCAGTGCTGAGAGCTCAAAGCCCACGTTGAAATATTCCGGTTTTCATGCAGATTTCCCGAGTTTAGAAGTGGAGCCTTTGAAAAAGCCAGAACAGTCATTTTCTGCACTATTTTGTGCATCTCTTCATACTGGGACTGTATGATTCCTGCCCTACACCAGAAAAAAAAAATTAGTCTCAAGGCATCGGGTATAGAAGAACAGTTTCCCTTATTGTTTCTCACACAAAATGCAGGAACTTCAGTGTTACTGCACAACCTAAAATTGTTTTCTTCACTCGTAAAGCAAGTGCTTTAGACCACCACCCTTACTTCCACAACTCTTAGAACACTGATCAGGAGTTAAAATTAGCCAACACAACTGAAATCACAAGCAGCAGAGGCAGAAACTGAGACAGGAGGATTAGGGTCATTCAGTAAAAGGCCACGTGGAAGCTTTTGGCAGCAAACACTCCGTGAGTGTTCCAGGTGATTTAACAAAAAAGGGGGGGGAGGGACTGGCAACAACATGAGGAAAGAAGTTGCTGGCACAAGTGGCATCTCTTTTTAGAAAGGAGAGGCAAGGTGAAAGAAAAGGAAAGAGCCAGGTGAGTATGGGGGGGGAGGCGGTGCTGGTAGCACTCCAGATATCAAGCCTGTTTGAACCACTGATGCCATCTGTACACCTTACGTGCTCTGTTGGCATATTTAAGCCCACAAAAAAAAAAATTAAATTCCACTAATGCAACACAACAGCCTGATGTAATCCCCACCAGGCCCTTGTGCACTTGCGACACGGGTGCATGAAGCAAGACCTCGCCTCAGCAGAGGAACCAGCGCTCGCCCAGCCCCACGACTTACAGCAACAGAAGGTCTTCAGAGCGGCTTCCTTTCGGCTTCAGTAATCTTTTGATTGGTAAAACTTGTATCCCCACTAGGGGGCCCGGCCAGCATAGCTTACAAGGAAAATTAAACATGAAGAAGCACATAATGAATCCCCGTGGAAGCCGTCATCTCTGCGAGGTGCAACCAAACAAGGCGGCGCCACCTGTGTGGAAGCCACCACAGGCCCCAGAGCTGGTGCTAGGCTGGCCTGGGCACTGCCACACGTCAGAGCACAAACACAGCAGCTTTGCCCGTTTTTACCAAATATAAGGTGAGACCAGAGCAGCGTGGACATGGAGGATCCAAACCAACACGTGGGCTGCCGGGATAAAGTTGCTTCAAAATGTCGTGAAGGCATTTGAATAGGCAAAGCCAGCTTGCAATGGCTCGGCACATTGCAACATGTGGTGATGGTGTTTTTCGTCTCGTAGGCCCTCCAATACCCAGTTTACTGTCTCATGAAACCATGACCATAGTCTGGAAGAATCAGAAAAATAAGTCTGGAAGCTGCTGAAGTCATTGTTTGCACACACCAGAAAGGCAGCGCCTGAAAACAATAACTCTGGCGTATTTACCACATCCCATACAAACCCTGGAGTGAATTCTTCTC